TAAAATAAATCTGAAAGCCCTAAACCTGTTGAAGCATGTCATTCACTTATTATTATCTTATAATTAGCTTATAATTTGAGTGCAAATTGACACTGTCGATCAGTTAACAGAGGTGTTCATCCTTGAAACTATATTCTGGACACTCAAGACTCTACTATTATAAAAGTACCAGCGTTAAAGTATGCTGAGCAACAGGAGTGTGGCTTTTTAGGGCATATGGAAAAATTATGCTGCTAAAAACTTGGTATCTCACTATTGACGCAAACACAAGCACATTGCAAAAAAAACTTCATGATCATTTATAGAATCTAAATATTATAAGGCTTTTTCATAGCAATATGTTCTGCCTTGCTGGGTAGAAAGTAACAAATAAAGTTACAAGCAGACTTTTTAAGGGGGCTCAATGATGCAGTAAAATCAGTCAATGTGTTTTTTCTATCCTCAACTGATAGGACACATTTTGTCTGATCTTGTCACACTGATGTAAAAATTCAATGGTCCTTCGGAAAAGACTGAAGAAGCTCTCAGTTTGTTTGATGTTATGATGAGTTTAAGAGCTCTTAAGTGTTACTTTATATTTAAATGACATGATGCTTAGTGTGCTTAATAGTTTTACCTAGCTCTAGGTCATAGGGCTGTGTTTGAGTTTGTAAAGTAAAACCATTGCATATGTAGCATTGTGAAACCTTATGCCAGCCGTTGTTTATTTTTATAAATTGCCTTAAGGATGAAAAGGAAATGTTTTTGAAACTGAAAATGGCAGCTAGCATTGCTTCCATGTAGTGCTGGGGTCCTGGATTCAATTCCAAACCTGGGGTGCTGTCTGTGTGGAGTTTGTATGTTCTCCCAGTGTTAATGTGGGGTTTCCTCTGCGTGCTCTGGTTTCCACATACTGGTAGGTGTATTGTCTTCTGGGAATATTGGCCCTGTTGTGAGTAAATGTGTTTCTGTTTCTGTGTGTGCCCTACGATGATCTGGTTCCCCATCCAGGGTGTACCCTGCTTTGCCCTTTTTACTTCCCAGGATAGGTTCCAACATCCCCTCTGAATTGGAAGAAGTGTTTAGAAAATGAGTTGATGAACCCTGTTCACCGGATAACATGTTATGTTTAACAATAAAAAAACATTGGGCTAACATGAGGATTCTACGGTAGGGTGGGTTTAATAAAAGGTGTGTATTTTTATAGAACATAAAATCTGTGGTTCCAAAACTCACAAGTTCCTTACGTGCAAAAGTCACCCTGTGAGCTCTAATGTAATAAAAAAAAGCCTGTAGATTCCTCTTCCATAGAAAAAGAGCTAAAAGCTATGACTGTTTAATTAAAACAAAATCAATCTGTGATCACAGCAGCCTCTTCAGTTGCCAGTATGACTGCTGGAGCATGAGTGTGTTTAAGCGCCGTGTGCTATTTAAACACACAACCTTTCCCTCTCATGCAGGAGATAGAAATGATATTGGAGTTACAGGCTGAACTCGGTGAACTGTGATGGCAAAACTTTCTCCATAACCAGGAAGCTCTGCTCTTACTCATGCTTACTGTCCCTTTACAGCGGAGTTATTTATGAAGATGTGCTGTAGTTTTCAAGCAAATTACTTGGAAAGCCTTCAGCTTGTAGTGAAATATTTCTCAAATTGTATTTATCTACAGGCTCTCATTGTACTGACTATACGTGGGCATATGTCATGTTACTAAGTTACACAGTTAATTGAAGGCATCCACAAAAGTTAAAGATTTTTGAAAAAGCAAAATACTTTTATTGGAAGTCATCATTTGCTTCTTGCTCTCTGATATATAGTGTATATTGTTTTCCAGCCAATAATGTATATTGTAATTTGGAGAGAATATTTCACTGAAGCCAAGAATATAAGATAAGATCACTTTATTAGCCCTATACAATTTCTTGCATTAGGAATTCATCTTTTCACATACCCCAGCTTGCACTCCATGAGCTTGCACTCCACACAGACAGGGAGAGAAGCTTGGGGTCAGAGCACAGGGTCAGCCGTTGTACAGCGCCCCTGGAGCAGTTGGGGTTAAGGGCCTTGCTCAGGGGCACAACAGAGTAGGATTCCTCTGCCGGCCACAGGATTTGAACCGGCAACCTTCCAGCCTCAGGTGCAGATCCTTAGCCACAGTGCCACTGTGATTATATTCTATCATCCTTTTCTTCCACAGTAATTGTGAAAAAAAGAACTATTCTTTTTCTTTCAGCAGTAAGATCATAAGACTGTCATTTTGCGAAGTAATAAAAAGGAATTTCCTTTCTGCGCTTTATTTTTAGACATTAAATCCCCAGGTTAACTGCCCCCTGTGGTGAGGTGTAATGGTGCCTGTTTGTGTTTTAGCACGTTTCTTGCTAGACCGCAGTTTCAAGGTACTGAAAGGTGACATTGGTACAGTAGAACGTCTTGGCTTTGTTTCATCAAGCACACTCGGTTGTTAAGGCGGGCCAGACTTCCCACCAATGATTTTGTGAGCAGCATGGGAGATTAAAATGTGTTGTGATAACAGAATGGAGTGGTATCTCCTGGAACACGATTTGTTTCTAATTTTGTCCATTCCTCCCTAGCACTTGGAGACAAGAGCAGTTACAGTAGATTAGGAACCTGCTTTACTTCTTCTTTTTTTCTTTTTTGTAAGCTAATTTTTTGTGCCGTTTCATTTTTGGAAAATAAATACAAAACAAAAACATTTCCCCACCCTGCCACCATAGGTGGTACCTTCCTCCAAGTTTGAATAACTCAATTAATAAAATCACTCAAACATGATAAATATACATTGTTATAAGGGCACGACTGTCAGCAGAGGTGTCACCAAACCCGTAACCATGAATATGAATATGAATATAAAGTTCTATGAAGTGCAGCTAATCCAACCAGATTTGTTTCTACTAACGTAAAAGCACAAGGCCAGGGTCATTATTTCATAGGTGTGAACAGGAAAGGGTCTTGTATGGAATATTGGACATGCAAGAAGAATTCAAGAACCTAGCCACATCGAGACACTCCCTGGATGTATATGCTGTAAAAGGTGCCTACATCTCCCTATGGGCAGATTACTGTATATGCAAGGGACTAGGTAAAAGTTTTATCTGATGGTATCTACAAGGGGTCAGTTGCATGCTTTGAAAAACTGTGTTTGTGAAATGTGTGAAATGTTTTCATTGTTAATGTTTTTAGAAGTCAAAATTAGCTTAAACAGTGGGTGTTAACTCCAGTGTCCTGACCAAATTTCTGCCCTGCTCTTGATCAATCATGGCCTCCTAATAACCCACATCTATGAATTGGCTTCATCACTCTGTTCTTCTCCCACTGATAGCTGGTGTGTGGGGAGCGTACTGGTGCACTTTGGCTGCTGTGACATCATCCAGATGGATGCTACACACTGGTGGTAGTGGAGAGGAGTCTCTATTAACCTGTACAGCCCTTTGAGTGGAGTGTCCAGAAAGGCCCCATATAAGTTTAAGGAATTCTTATTGTTAGAGCTGTTATCCAAAGCACCCCACAACATTTCTTCATTTGTAATGTTCGAATCTGTATTCCAGAAATGGCTGCAAAGACTTGTGTGATACTTCTAAAAGAAAAACAAAGAATACAGTCTTTTTCTTTTGCCCATTTGCGTATCATTCTGTATGCTGTAACAAAGAAAACCTGTACTCTTCTGTCATCTATTTGAGAAGAATGTGACCTACACTATTCTTTAAGGGAATTATTTTGTTGTTGTTGCTTTAATTCGATTCATCAACAGTCCTGGGTTCTAGTTAAAGTGCTGTAGCTACCTAACATAGTCAATAGCCAGTGAGTTGGAAGACTCTATCAACAGTGTAATGTAGTATACCTTGTCAGGTGTACAATGTCCAGAATAGGTTTTGAGCTGATCCTTGTTCGGTCAATAAACATTCAACCCTTTCGGTGTATGCCTTTCACGGGTTTATATATCAACATTCTAACACTCTTGCTGAGCTGACTTTTATCTTAGGAGGTTTCATCATTAATGGCATTGTGAAATTATTTCGATCAGGCATCCCGAGCCCCTCAAAGCAACAAGTCGAATTCGAAACCAGAAAAAAAATCGAAAGCCTTCTTCAAGAACGTTAGAGACATCTCTCAAATATGTAATCGGCACGTGACTTTAATTCATTTAAAGTGCCTGCTGTAATTAATGAAAACCATTAAAATGTGTGCAGTGAAATAATAAACAGTCTGCAGCAGCTACCTTCTCCGAATGGTAAAGTCTGGAGCGCCACCTACTAAGTCTTCCCTTCAAAGCAACAGAGAACAAATTTTAATTTTTAATATGGTATTAATCCACTCTTTGAAAGAAGATCATTTTGACATCACTAATAGCTATATTTTTTAATACTTTCTGAACACTTATCGTATTTCTTCAGAACATGGGCTCTTCGCTTGTATTTTTAATAATGAAAAATTACACATTGAAGTGGAAACTTGGCACTGCAAAATACAGAACAGTCCAGATTGCTGTGTAGATTACGCAGAGTGACAGTTCTTATTTTAGCTCTTGAAAGCGAAGCCAGAGTATTTATTGAAAAATGTCATAGCCCCTGGCAATTAGTTCTATATTACATTAGAAGCAGTTAATAGATGTATATAAATAAAATGCATACTAAAGTGTTTCATAAATGTTTAACATTGCTTGTTTTAAGGCTAAACCGCACACTAAGCATAATTTAGCCTACCTGTCACAAAGGGATTTTAATGCAGGCTTTTTCCCAAGGGAACCTGCTCCACCATTCCCATATTTCAGGAAAGAGGGGTTAGGGAGATTTAAAACGAATTTGCTTGGAAGATACAGCCGTTTATTGCTGATTGGCATACAGCCGGCACAATCACAGCCCACTTGTAATGTGCACACAAGGGAGATAGGATACAAAAATAACAACTGGGAGATGAAGATTAATGTGCGGTGTATTTGTGTGGGGACCCAGCACACCGCTCCACAGTCCCTTTCCAGAGAGAAGAGCACATGATGTATTTGTATGCAGTATTTTTAAAGGAAATGTAAAAGTCGGCAGTTTTTCCTTCCCTCTTTTTCATTTTTCTTTTCAGATACTGCATTTTACCCTAGCACTTTCAAAGAAAACCTCCCCCCACCCCCTGTGCTTGAACTGATATGGTGTTTCTTAACATTTTAGACTATCTTCCTCGATTTTTTAAAAAAAATAGTTTACTACATCTGTGATGTACTTCAGAAAAATGCTGCCATTGGCTATAACGCCTTGACATCTAGGCAACTAATGATATCCAGCAACAGCTAGATGTACCTGAAAGCATTGCCTTAAATGTTAGCTAGCATGCACAGTGCTGGGTGTGAAAGAAGTAGAATTCAGTGGGATAGTAGGCCACTTCCTAAATGTTCATTCCTCTTCGTTGAAGACATAAATGATCTACACATACTGTAAGCAAAATCTTGATTCACTGGATGCCCCAGTAAATCATTATTATATCAATCATTAATATTGATTAATATTACTCTTTAATGTTTTATAAATATAAATCTTTAAAATTGACCATGTTGCTTTTATTTTTATATAATGTCAAACTAATGATGATTGCTGCAAAGACTATATTTTAGCAATCTTTTGTTGTCAATTGATTGCCTGTTAATATTTGTTTAGTGAGAAAATAGGGTTAAGCAAGTTTTAGAGACTGCATGAAGTTCTGTATGTTAGAGTCCTTGAAAATGTTTCTTCAGTCAATCCTCAATACAAAAATACTCTACTTCAAGGGAATGAAGTCTAAACAAACATCCATCAATTAAAGTAATTCATCAGCACTGGAGATTTAGAGCTGAGCTGGGGCTTAACCCATCAGTCCCTGAGGTCACTGAACCAGGGTTGGGGACTACTGTGTTGAACTACCAGAGCACCTGCTATTTTTGAAAGATTCATACCGTAAAAATATAAACCTGACTAGAAGACAGTTTACCTACTGGGGCATGCAGAAATTTTAAAATGACACAGACTGTTTCTGTAACATGTGTAGATTGGAAGATAGGATTTTCTTCAGGGAAGCCAGCGTAGGTAGAAAAACTATTTGAGATACAGAATTAATGTGAAATTGTGCCTTGAATTCTTCCTCCACAGGAGAAATGTATCTGCCAGAGACTGGTTGGTTTCACACTGAATGCCCTAATTCTCAAAATAGTTGGAGAAAACAAGATTCTGATTTCTTCACTGAAAGGGAGAACTTTGATATGGAGAGGTGGCATAATGTTTCTCCTACTGCCTATACACACTTTCTAGATCATGTTACAAGTGAAAAGACTTTGGTCTTATTCAGTCCTTTAATATACCACAGTAAGTTCTGAAACTGGCCTGCTGTAGATGCACAGCCAGAAATACAACCTTATGGGTGCATGGGTTTGGTTGAACATGTTTTTCCCTCAAAGGCAAAGGTAAGCAAAAGTAATTGCAGCATAGGGACAGAATTGTAGAGAACAATTCTTATGTTTCAGCTGTTTTGTGGATAAAGATTTTTTCATTGATTGGTCAAATTTCATGCATCTCAAAACCAGACAAACTGTTGTTCAGTTTGTCTGCTGAACGACATCCGTCTGCTCAGGATGGGGGCAGAACAGTTCTAGGGTTCTGTAAGGGCTACGTAAAATGCTTTAGATAATTTTATTCTTTACATTTTATCAGACAGTGCAGCCATTAAAGGTCTAAAAGAAATATTACTGTACTGTACATCCGGTCTTCTGACAAGCATATTGAGAGCATTTTCAAGACATCACATGAGTAAATATGAATGTAGAACTCTGAAATCTACATATTCTTTTTATTTCATTATAACTGCTTTGCTGAGAACCCATAAAAACTGCTTGATCTGGCTGTTGTTCATTTTTGTTTAATGTAAATTGCAGGCTTTATCAGTACTGCTCTTTGACCTAGATAAACACATAATGTTTTAGATTCACATCTAGAGACTTTGATCTGTCTTTCATCTACTATCAAATTAACCATCTGCACATTAAATCTCCTTATTGATAGTATCAGTGTATCTTTAGAACAGCAGATAAGGATTAATGTTGTGTGAAACGTCTGAATTTACAATTGACTGGTTATGATATTTGTCACGTGCTGTTGTAACATATTTGCATTAACACGTTTTCTTCTCTATTTCAGGTATTGAGCAATGCACGACTTTTCCTAGAGAACCTAATAAAGTAAGTATTTTCCTTAATGTAGTAAACTGCTACCCTGCTTTCTTATTTTTCTTTTACTGAATGTGTGTGCAGCGTGATCTGTAAAGGTTCTGTTATTGTACACAGAATGAAGAGTGCTGTTGCTTGATGCTAAAGACTCTATATAACATTCTAGTTTACAATGTTGAAGGATTCACAGCTGTATAAAAGGGAAAAATGTGCTTCAGGGGGAAAACTCATATTAGTTTAGGTAAAAAGATGTGCAACAGTGTGCACATCCAGACCAGCAAAAAATGGGCTTTCAGCTTGCTTAAGTTAAGTCTATCACCACCGTCCTGAAATAACGTTCTCATCATTGAACAAATCGAAAACAAATATTTTATTCCTGTCTTTAAAGGCCTGAAATTTTACACAAGTAGCGATCAATGACACCAATTCAGATTCGAATTTCTTATATCGGGTCTGGGAAACAACAATGCACGAGGACTGAAGTTTTTACAGATGTTTTAAATTCAGCTACTGTACAAATTGAGGTGCAACATAGCAGGTTTTAATTTATCCAAATAATTTGTTCAGTTTGTCTCCCGATTTCAAGGGAGAAAAACAGATGCATATTTGTATTTTGTACAATACATCCAGATGGACAGGAATGTTTGCCATCTCGTCTCGCAAGAGCTGTACATTTTCATGCTACTGGGAATATGGACTAAAAATTAGAAGCTTGCAGCCGATATTGGATCCTCAAGCAACTTATGCAAGTTTGAAATCACTATTTCACTTTGTTATACTCACCCAATTTAGAATAGCCAATTGTCTGTTTTTCCCCCCGTCTTGGCTCATACTGTATCTATAAACCCTGTGACTGCACACGGGGAAGATTCCTCTGACCCACAACCATTAGTTTTTAATACAGGAATTTCAGTGCTGATTAGAACTTCTTTTTAAAATACCTTTTAACTATACTGGCATTGGAATTCAATGGTCATGGGCTGTCTGGGCTAATGGCAGAACAGCAAATTCTTATGTTTCCCAGGTGTGTACAGGCTTACTGACAGTAAAGTCAGTGAGAGATGCGCCACACCTCCAATCAGTGCCAACTCTACTGTGAGGCCCTGTGGTTCTGATGTGGGCAGATGTCTGCTTGATTGTCTTTGAACAGTATAGGAGTAATTGCTGTGAGTCCATACATAAAAATAAATAATTGGTACTTTCCAATGTGTGATGAGTATAAAATAAAAATCTCAAGAAAAGTCGAATGTTAACCAAAATAGAGTTCCTGTTACATAGAATATGTGTTAACGAGAATTAGTTTACAAGCAGGTCATTTTCTTCAGTGTTATCCTACAGGACGGGCCTGCTTTACATTGTATGCCGTGTTTGTAGGTGAGGGCAGAAATAGTAATTAGGCGGCCTCATGTTCCTAATGGCAAAAAGTATCTTAGAGACGCAAGCAGTATTATGACAGGCCTTGAGGGAAAAATTGTCAGAAATCTGGCCCACAGCGACCCTTTCTGAGAAAGTCAGTCTGTCAGCTCAGCTATGTATTCAGAAAACATTAGAATGTACAAAAAGACAAAAATGGGGAGAAGGTCAGTTGTTCGGTATAGCTTTCCTAAAAATGGGTTTCAGTGTTTGTGCCAGATAAATTTACTGTATGAGCAGAAAAAAGAAAGACGGAAAACCAGTACTAGAAATACTAAATAATGTATGAACAATATGCCCATTAATGTGCTCACTCAGTAGGAAGTACTCTCACAGCTATGGGAGAATTTAGCCCACAAGGAGCCACTCAAAAGCTGTCACTTGAATCTGTGCCCAGTCCCTAAATGGTGCTGGTGCAAAAAAGTATTGCCATTTTTGTGTACTTGACTTGCTTAAAAATATTCCATATCAGTTGTCACTCAGTCAAAATGAATCGGACAGTTAAACTGGTTAAATAGTACCGATGAAACACCACCTTTGGGTTAAGTTTATTCGCTTGGCAGTATGATATTTCACAGTTAATGACATTTGTTTCTATTTTGTGATCTGCGAGAATTCATTTTATACCGTCAGGGTAATATATGTGTTAGGTTATGTAGAATTATGCAGTTGTTGTTAGATCTATTTAAGTTTTATAATAAACCACATCAGAGTAACTTTTCAGGTTACAGCAGGCAAATAAAATACCTGATAGGGGAAATGGTGTTTTTTTTTCCTGTTATGAATGTTTGCCTGTGTACGCTGTAGTTAAACTGTTTTTCATTTAATCTAAATAAATGCTTCTCTGCAATATTATGTAAAACAATAGAGGGGCAGTGTGGTCTGCATACTTTGTGTATGTTTTAACTTTGGTTACAGATTTTTGGAAATGTAATTGTAGAGAATATACTGAGCAATGACGTATGCTTCTAGGTGCAGTACAAATACATTTGATCAAATTGATCAGTTACGAAGATGATTGCTTAGCATTTTGCTTCAAATATTTACCCGTGTTGAGGATCCTAAGTTCATTTTTGGAATGACGTGGACCATATAGTATTTTTTTTAGCGTAGCTGCTATTTTGTGCACTCTTCTGACAGGAAGAAATATGGACTGAAGTGTTGCAAAGAGGAAAGCAGTGTAAGCCACCATACTGCAGGCCATATGTTGCAAAATGCGAAATGTTGCAAAAGTTTCAAGTGTGCTGTTTTTCCCAGATGTCTCTGATTGCAGAATCCTTTATCCTCGCATTTACCAAGTTGAAGATGCTGAGGTTTAGTTTTTTCTTTGAATAACCCTTCTGAACAATATAGAATCTTTCCCCCGCATCTTGTGTCTTACTGTCTTCTGGAATGTATTCAAACTCTTCTGATGGGGTGTAACGACATCTTTGTTATAAAGTTCGTATTGGGGTGTGTGGCAAGTTAATTCCATTGCAACATTTGTCAAGACCTTGTGTAAATGCAAATTCGTAAAGAAGTTAACAATGTGTTATCTTTCAGTATTAAGCGGAATATTTGTAACAACATAGGAAGCCAGTGCTTTAAAAAAAGCTTTCAAATCTTTGTTACAATGTGTTAAACTTCAGTCATCTGTATTGTTTGCCAACCATATCTAAACACTGCTCTGTGAAGCAATTTAGAGGGTGTGGATATGCTATTTTTATTGCATTATTGTGACCCTAGTAAAATTGTTTAACACCGCTCCTGACTTTAATTTTCCCTTTGCAATTTCTTTTCAATCAGATATGGTATACTAGTGGACCCAATCCAAGTTGTTTCACTGTTCTTAAAGGACCCTTATAGCTGGCCTGCTCCATGCCTTGTAATTGGTATGTATTCATTATTTCTGTGGTGTGGATTTTCAGTAGTGTTTTTTGAGTACAGTGCGTGTGGATTTTAGCTTGCCTAAAAGGATGTTCCTTCTGTTTGTTCTGGAGAATGCTGTAGTTTTTACAAGAAAGTTTATTACTTCCTGATTTTCGACTATCATCTCCAGAGGTATCTCCCCTGTCCTAGTTAATACACTGTGGAATACAACATCTAAAATAATAATTTTAATGTTTTGTTACATACACATTCCATGGTGTCATGTATGTAAAGGTTGACCTTGGTGTTTGTTTCTGCAGAATACACTAATTCTAGAATACACAATTCTGCAGGATACACTATTTTACTCAGTTGTATTAAAATGGTCTCAAAAGTACTTAGTTTCCTTCGACTTTTCTGGGTGGCCTAATCATGAAGAAAAGATGGTAAAATATAACGTTGAAAAATTGAATATCACATATCATTGAGAGTGCCATGAAAAAAGCAATAACCTCTTCCACTCTAAAAAAGGTGTTAGTACTCTGGAGTAGCTAATCATCTCCCAGTTTCTTGACATTCTGTCTGCATCACCTAGAGAAATGACAGCAGTCAGAGCTTTAACGATGGTTTTTCATTTTTATTAATTTTCTTCACTTCAACAACAAGAAAATGGGAGAAAATGACCATTCTTCCCAGCAGTATTGTAAATGTACTATAAACACTGTTGTGGTAAGAACTCAAGGATGCTTGACAGTAAATCCTACTGATGCTTGACAGTAAATCCTACTAATAGCCTTCTTCCTCTGTTTTGCTGTAGATCAGCTTAGCCGTTGTTAATTTCCAAAAGATGGTATTTGTTTACAAAACTTTGTAAAAGTACTTTCCCTACATGTGATAGTGGTGATGTAGACATAGACATAAATGTTTTAACTGGTTTGATAATTAGAATTCACAAGCCTTTTTTGCTTTTTAAAACATTTTGTTGAACCGCCTGCAATTAGCCTATCCACCCAAAAATAATAATGCCGGGAACATGCCCTGTTGCGAGAATGCTAACTCCTGTTCTTTTGCTTTTCTGTCCCAGTGTCAAATACATTTATAATCATAGCTTTGTACAATGAGAGGAAGTTGTCTGTGGTGAGTATAATCCCATAAAGTGAATCTTTTTTCCAGTGGATTTCTGTTAGTTTTGCAGGAAAATGTAGTATTGGCTGTAAAATGTCTGTTTGAATTAATTGAGGTGAATTTGAAAGCTTTATGATTTGTTAATTTACAATTTAGGAATGCATTTTATTAAATGGTTTGTTAATTCAGTACATTACGGTCTTTTTTTCCATTCAATATGCAGTACTGTGCAAACAAGGGTTGTTATCTCTATAGATGTGACCTAATAAATGACTTATAACCATTGCATCATGGTACAATATTGTAACTGTACATTTTGACTCTACACTCTATGCTTTAGGATTTTTATAATAAATGTCTGTAAAACATTCCACAAGTTTAGATTTGTTGAATTCTTCTCTGATATGGCCCATATAGACTCAGTCCAATTCATGTAATGATTTTGAGAAAAACATGAGAACTTGTTTTGAAGTGTTTGCAACCCACATGTCTTCACAGTACTGCTTATATAGTGCAGAATTGATGGATCACTATTATGAGCTTTCTAGCGAAACAATGTATTTTTTTTACTAATCAATCTTGGTGTCAGTCATACACTCTTAGCTTGTTCTTTCATTGAGTATATAGAAATTGAGTCCATGTTTCTTTTCAGAAGTACATTTCTTTCTCTCAACACTGTACCGCGCTGCCTTTCATATGCTTGCATCGTCAGTTCATTGTTTAAAAACAAACACCTTTGTTTCCTCTGTACACAATAATTTGAGGGGCAGCTGTTATCAGTGTAATTACTTACTTGGTTAAAAAGAACGTTATGTTACACTTTGGGTATACCAGCCAATAAGGAAGAACATATTTGCATATGAATTGTCAATGCACCCAACGCATCACATATTTCTATTGGATGACACAGGGCAGAATAATGATATCCGTTTCTGTGAAAAAGTACTTTTGAGTTTAACCAGTGGCTGTGATTTGCACCTTTCCACAGGGTACTTTTTCTGAGAGGGTTGGGCTGTTTGTTCACTTCCTCAACCTTTCCACAATCCTCTGTTTCCCTGCTGCTGTTGTGTTAATGGTTAACTCCATGACTCCAGGTAAGCTTCCCTCTGGTCTTGTAGAAATATAGCATCGCACTTTAAAAAGTTGGTTCTTCTTGCTGTGTGTTGCTATGAAATGCATTTGTCTAAGTGCACGTACAGATACATAAGAAGTAAAGCTGTATGAAACAGATCCGTCTTCAGCTAATATTTAAACTAGGAGACAGTAGGGGCTTGTATTAACAGTAGCCACCAGTGTCCCAGTGTTAGGCTGCAGCACAGCCCTAGAGCATTCCTGCTATTGTAGCTGGCTTAGGGAGAGGAATTGAACATGTTACACAGTCCCAGGATCTTAGCTGCACCTCAGAGGGTACAAACGGTCAGTAGATCAGGCAGTTTGTCAGGGCTGATTGTGTAAAGTTCATGGATTTCATGAGGAGAAACATCTTGAACCTGCTCCAGAATCTGACAGGCAACCGGTCAAGACCGCAGTAATGACCTTCATTAGAAAGTCTTGTGTCCAAGGGAATGCTGATGCACGACAAGCTCAAAGGCAGAATAGCAGCCTGCAGGTGTTTCTTTCAGGCCTGAAAAAGAGGTGGTTTGAGGCAAATATGGTGATGCACAGAAACATGTTTTTTGTGGTCTTGTGAGGCAGCTACTTCTCTCCCTCTTGATTCAATATGATAAGCCACGAGTTTCTTTCATTTGCTAGCATAGAGCTTTTTATCAAGTGCTCTCTGTCTTTCTCCAGTTGGTGAGTTGTGTAGAAAACAGGGGATGAAGAATAATATACATCACACTCTGTTCTGTTGTAAATTTAAACCATTGTTACCTTGGGAAAGTACTTAATGGCGTATTTTTTCCTCTCATCTGTTAACGCCACAGGGAGTGACAAAGATCCACCATCTGTCAGTTGTTCCTCACACAGGGCGGTTGTTTATATATCAAGGTCAGGGGAGTGAGCTGCTGCAGTCTCTTGACAAGTGAGCACCAGCTTTATCTTGGTGGCAATGCCGTCCATTGGAGCTCTCACAAGGGCCTTTTCCACTGACCACATGGTCATTATTAAAAAGCCAGTAGTCTGTCTTGACAGGCATTGGTGTCTCGTTTCTTTGACCTGCTGCTGGTGTTTTTGTTGTTTTGGTCAGTTGGTCAAGCCAAAATAATCATGCAGGCAAAATCAAGAACAACATGCAGTTTTGAAGGCTTCCGAGCACGTCCCGACCCACACAATGTAGAAAGGCCACCTGCGTTAGTAAATCAAGCTCTAGACAGTGGCAAGGCTTGAAAGTCAGTGGTGGCAAGGAGATGGAATCCTGTTTTAGCGGAGTAAACAAGGGAAACTAGAATGATGAGCTAGTAGACTATGAGCCAATCAATTTTAGAAGAAGAGCCGTTAGCTGTACTGGATGTGTGTGTCTGTGTGTGTTCACTGGTTCCTGAGCTCTAACAGTCACACAGTATCACACAGCTCATGCCACCAACTGTTCAGTTGGACATCCATGCAGAACCGTCACATTCTCATTCCGCAAGAAAGCCATTGTTACACAAGCAGGGTAACCAGTGTGTCGTCCTGCTAGAATATTGTATCGGGACGAGATCACAGAAAGGGCAACAGGACCACCTAGGATCCTGTGTAGATCATCCGCAGTGTAGAGGTCCCAGTCAGGTTGAGATCAGTAATTGCAGGCGAAGTCCCTTAAAGACAAGGCACTCCTGCCCAGACCATTACACACTTGGACCACCCTCGGATTTGTCTGTTGTACACAAAGAGGATAGTTCTCTACACATCTGTGCCACGCCTGCTGACATCCGTCAGGGTGGTCTACAGAGAACATTCCCACGAGACCTGATTCTTCTCTAAGGAGGAGACAGGTCCACCTGTTTGACTTATTGACTCTGTGAAGCCTTCAGGCATTCTGATGACACAAGTGCTTTTTTCTCTTGAGCACCATTCTCAAGAGAAAGTCTCTATTCTCTTTGTCCTCTTAAACAAATGAAATCCCCTCCACCTGTGCCAAGTTGAACACTCACTAATGAGGTGATTTAGTGCTTAAGCAGTAAGTCATTCAAGAGCATCACGGTCATGATCAATCTGTCAAATTGATGATAAAAACATTTACTCAGTATCCAAAACCTACAGTATGTAGTCTATTTTACCTACATTATGTAGTCTGTTTTTTTAAAACAAACACCTAAACAGAGGAATCAATTCCTTTTGTATTTTTATCTAACTCAACCATCCAAAACAAACCCCGTATCCAGTGTTGTGAAGTAAACAGGGATATAACAGTGATATTTTTAAGAAAAAAATAATTAAAATCAGACCTTTCTATATCCTTCTTAAAAACATATCCATCTATTTCCTAACTGATGTATCCAATAAGGCAAGCAACAGGGCCAGGACCAGTTTTCTCAGAAACCAGTTAGGTTTCTTATGTCTTTGGACTGTTAGAGGAAACCAGAGCGCCCAATGTAAACCCATTCAAACACAGGGAGAACATACATACTCCACTCAGATAGCATGCCAGGAATTGAGCTCGGGGCCCCAACCCTGCAGAGGTGCTAATAACTGTGCCACTATCCCACGCCTTAAAAAACATTTTAGATGTGACTTGAAACATTGTATGATGTGATTCATTTTGCAGTCAGTTATATTTGACATCGCGTATGCTTGCAACAGAATTTCTATTCATTTTTAAGTTTTTGAATAAGATAATATTTGTTCTTTCCTTTCCTGAATGCAACATCGCTGAGATCTGTGCTTCGGGAAGAGTGTAAAGTCTTTAATTTCTTTGCATATATGAGGTTAGGTGGTGCAGCCCTTGCTGCAGCATAACAAGACATTTGTACATTACCAGTAGATCAGCTTACATTGCCAGTTTAACCCAGAAGTAATATAACCATGCTATTCTGAAATATTATGTAGTCTAAATGTTAGTAGGTAATGACTGGCCATCTGTAGTGGTTTGAAAGATCTAGTATCCGTACATCTCTCTGAAATATATAGATTAAATTGTGGTCCAAAAAACGAAAATCTTAAATGTCTTTATTTTACCTGTTATCCTATACCATATATACCTATATTGGTCAATCACAAGCCATGTTCTTTATCATGCAAACCCAGTACAAGCTGACTGACCACCAGTTCTAGTTTGGAAATGCAGGTTGCAGTTAAGAGTGAAGGTAGCGTTATACATGTTCCTTTTAACCAAAGTAAGTAAAAATGAGTTTAAATTGAGAAAAGTCTGTCTGACCCCGAATCATGGAGCATAAAACTTAGGGGCTGTCTGAATTTAAAATGAGCTTGGCTGAGATATTCATAATGTTAATAACTGCGGTTATATGTGGCATAGCAGCAATCTAGAAATTATATTGTAGGGTATTTTACAGATCGGCTCGAGGATTAGGCTTCTAAATGGAATGGTGTGGATTGAGGCACAGCAACGTGGGACTAAATCCCGTCGAAGGCCGTGACTAGAATACGGAGGCAGCAGCTTATGAAATGGAGAGAACAAAAGTATTGTCATAAAATGGAGGAGACGGCAGTATTGATGCTGGAAACCAATTTAAAATGACCGCTGGGCCTTGAAACGGATTTGTTCCCTTCTTTCTGTTTTTTTAATGAAACAGTTGGTGGATTATTCGTACTTGGAGTCTACACCATCCTGTTCCTGAAGTTGTACTCCTATAAAGACGTGAACAAGTGGTGCAGGGAAATTCGGCAAGCCAACGCCCGCAGCCTGTCCAGATCGCAGTCGTGTAAGTACGCTTCCACAACGGCTGTGTTATCTAACCTTCCCCGAGCTGTGGATGAACAGAAGCCTCAAGAACATTAAACACAATGGAAGAAAAAGTTTATTTTCGAGGCTGAGCTTTCTGGGGGTTTTTTTGTTTCGTTTATGAAATTCAGGATTTTTTTTACCATGTAACCATTTGGGATTTATGTTAGTGAGCTGCTACGATCAGCAAAACTTGAGTCACAGAACGCAATGCCTACCATTCGTAACCACCCAGGGGTCCTCATAATTTACTGTGCTGTCTCGCCTCCCGAACTCTTGTGTAACGCAAGGAATGACGATGACCTTCCTATATTGCCACTTGCATCTGAACAAAAAAAAAGCCTCAATCAGGTTTATATGACTAATGTATAAATACATTTTGTGACCCACTGTTTACTGATCAGGTGTTTCCTGTGAAGACGTTTTCTCTTTTTGCATATTTTTCTCCTTAATTTTTTAAATCAGTTTTAAGCCACTGCGGTGGTTACTGTCCTCTGCTGGTGTGTCAACATATAGCAGGATGAATATGACTCCAGTTGAATGTGCTCTTTATTAATTATTATGCAATGGGAGGCAGTGAGGTAACAGGTTTTTGAGGGCATGATTAAGTTCTGTCTGAAATAAAATGTTCCATAATTGTGCTTTTAAGCACACGTTTTCAAACAGTTTGGAGAAGAAATCTCATTTTGGGCTGAATTTTATCACCCTAGCCAAATACATCTTGAAAAAAATAAAAAATAAACTCTTGTGTAAGACAGTGAAGCAGTAATTCCAGATTCTCGCCTTTGTGGTGCTACTCTTACATAAACATTTAACATGTCTCATAAGGACGACTTTATTAGAAAAAGCAATCTGCTCACGATTATTATGATCTTTTGAATGACCATTTATAATGTCTACCCATATTGGAGAATTTTCTGACAGTGACATAAGTGTCTGTGGCTAATGTTGAATAAGAATTGGAATGTTAGGTTTGAGTGAAGTACTCAAAAAAAAATCTGATCTTTGGAATCATTCTCTTAAATGTGTAAACTAATAGGACCAGAAAAGGTTTCTCTGTGTTTTCAGACGAGATCATAGAGGCCCTTCTTTGTACTGATAGCATTGAATCCTGTATTTAAACAGATCCAATGGTCGAGAAGGCTAATGGCTCAGCAATTCAGGCTCAAACAACCTATCCCGGGAATCTCACACACAGAGGTTAGTAAGGAAGTACTGAGCTTGAAGTATAAGGGGGAATGGTACTATACGTACCATGATGAGTGCATTTTCACCCACAGGATTTCTCACTTTGTCCATTTGCTCTTTTTGTCCGTGTTCCAGATATGTACTATTTTATTTTTGCGCCCACCCTGTGCTACGAGTTAAATTTTCCCCGCTCTCCTCGAATACGCAAGCGCTTCCTCTTGAGGAGGCTTTTTGAAATGGTGAGTTGTACTTCAGAGTGTTCACGTTCATCTTGTCCTGGTGCCTTAGCTTGTTTTCACTGCTGCAGAGAGCCGGTTCAATACCGTGCTGTCAGGCAGGATTACTCTTGCTTGGAATCTAGATTGTACTTTGGTTTGTAAGACTGGATGTAACTCGGGCTAGTTCTCCAAAATTACATTTGAGTTAAAAGTTAAATTTCTCTTTTGCTTGCTAGATTTGCACCTTTAAATCTGGACATCTTCTGAAATAAAAACTGCAAATAAAAATTTTTGAATGCCATGCTGTAAGCAATGAACTTCTTCTGGCAGCACAGTAAGCTATTCTTTCTACCAAAAAAAAACAACGAAAAAGCTCAGCCAGACCACACAGTGCTTACCATGGTTAGGAGTGTTCCATGTTCACTGTTTTACTTTGCCCTATAAATATAATAAAAAACAGAGATCATTCCATAGCCCTAGAGCAGTTTTGAGCAGTTTTACTGTTTTTTTGGAGTTTCGAATTTAAACATATTATATGAAATGTATATGGTATATTAAAGTACTTATCTTTTCTTCCAGCTTTTCTTCATACAGTTGTTGGTAGGATTAATTCAACAGGTATGTGTGGTTCAATTACAATGTGCTTTTTAAATAACACATCTAAAAACTGCAGTTCACTGTTTCTTCATATCCTCCGGAATTGAAGAATATTAGAATTGGTGTTGTTAAATGTACAAGCTTGTTTCTAAACCTCTAGATATATGTGCTTTTGAGTTCCAGGTGTTCCTAATGAGCAAAACAAGAGCAAGCAATCAGTGTATTGGCTGAAAACAGTCTCAGTTTCTTTTTCTCTTTCCAGTGGATGGTTCCAACAATTCAAAATTCCATGAAACCATTTAAGGTAAAACCATCTTTCTTCAGATTTCTTATTTTTCCGACTTGTTCATTACCGTCCGCAGTATCAATCTCGTCTGTCATTTTTTTAGGACATGGACTTTTCAAGAATGATCGA